GTTTTTATGTACATACCACCCCCAGTGTTCTGGGTTGATAAAATGAACAAACGAAATAATAAACCAGCTAACAAAGTGAATGGAAGTTTTCTATACTCCTTGGCCCAAAGCTCTTCCATTGGTTTTGCTTAACCTAAGAACAACTCCCCCTTCAGAAAACATCAGTTATCCCCACGTGAGATAATTACAGGTCAGCCTATGAGAGTGAATGGAAGATTGTAGGAACCAACCTTACTGAAAAGAGATATATTCCATTATTGTCAAGGCTTAACTAAACTTCTCTCCTCAAAGGCTAAATTGATAAAAGACTCTTTTTACAGTGCGCTACCAGGGGGCAAAGATCGTAAGTATCACGACCTCCAGCTGGGGACTATGATTACTGGAAAAGACATCACCTAAAGCAGTGGTCCCTGACCTTTTTGGCACCAGGGACTGTTTTCATGAAAGACAGTTTTTCCACAGACCGGGGAGGAAGGAGATGGTTTCAGGATGAATCAAGTGCGTTTCATTTATTGCACACTTTATTTCTATTTTACATTTTAATATATCATAATTATACAACTCACCATAGGTTGGGGACCCCTGACCTAAAGGATTCCCTGGAACCTCACAGGAAAAGGCGTTTCCGGGTATTATTGACCAATCATTGTGCAGCTAACTTGAAGGGTTTGACATCTGCATTCACATTTCCCATTTAAAAAAAGCCCCAAAACCTGAATGCACTTCTAAGCCTGCTGGAGACCCTCCGTTAAAGATCTGTAAGATTCCCAACTCCTCTGAGGATGAGAAAAAGATGACGTCTGAGGTAATTAGCTATTCCCAAGATACCAGGCCAGGCCTGACCTTACGATGAGTTTCTTCTACATATACCTTCCTATACCTTTTGTTTTGGTATTTTCTTGTTACAATGATTGATGTCTGGTAACTCTCCCCTTCTTTGTTTGATCCTCATTCCTCCTACTGGGAAACTGCTAATCTAACGAATATGGAAGTAGGACACACTTATGTTTTGATATCAAGAGGACACTGGGACCCTGATATCAGCTTCTCATAATTAGCCCAATATTCTTACAGCCTATGGCACTTTTCAAGTATAATATACTATTGGGGCCACCATGTAGGAAAACACATCCAGGAAGTTCTCCCAAATTCCATCATATTGGGTTGGGTAGTTGTTATCTTTTTTTTTTTTTTCCCCCGGAGACTGGGTTTCTGTTACTGGAGGGCTGGAGTGCAGTGATTCAACCACAGCTCACTGCAGCCTCGACTCCTTGGCTCAAGCAATCCTCCTGCCTCAGCCTCCCTAGTAGCTGGGACTACAGGTGTGCACCACCACACTCAGCCATGATTTAAATATTTTACAAATAGGTCACTGCATTACTGTGAATACAGATGCTCGAAGACTATCCAAAGTCCTTGGATATGATGGAAGACTGTTCTGTACCTTGTTACAATATTTCTTGTCCTAGGGATCAGAGGCCCTTTTAATGAAAAAAGACGTTTGCAAGAAAAGTCGATACTTATCAATCTAAAGTAGATTAGGGCCAGGC